AATAATAATTTGACCGTTATTAATTTATAATTTAAATAAATTAATATTCTAAGATTAGCAGAATAAAAAAATCCTGAATTAAAAATTAGATGAAAATAAAATTAAACTCTATATCAGATTCTATTTAATAACTTTCTATGAACTTTTTTGTCACCTTTCAACCAGAAGGCTTTTAACTTGCTTCTGTGTGCATGCAGACTGTGTTTGTATATTAATATTGGAGCAATGCCCAGAGGCCCCACTCAGGACTGAGAGCTCCACTGTGTTAGGGGCTGTACAAACACAATCACTGCTCCAACGAAGTGCTTTTTTTAATGTTCTTCCACCTGCAAAGCCAAACATTTTTGGGTTACTCTGACCCTAATTATACAGGTCTCAGAAAAAAGAAAAATATAACTAATTTTAGAAGTCCCATAAGTATTACCTAAAATAGCAGGGTTTTTTGTACAAAGTATTGAATTTAAGGTTGGATATATTGAGACCTTCCAGGGCTAGAAGCAAGTGCTTTGTCTCATTAGAAAACTGAGATTTGCCCCATTCCAAGGGTAATCTATGAAGTTTTTTCTCACCCTGCAGGGTCATGTTATATTGGGCCTTTTAACAGTTACAGGACTGAAGATTGCCTGTCCTGCACTTCAGACTGTATCTTGGGGGATGAAAGGAAATCATTTCTGTAACAGGTTGTTTTTAAGTGGTAGCAGCATCAAGCTGCTCAGAAGTTTACAGTGTTAGCATAGTCACAGTAAAGACGGATTAGCGAGCAGAATGTAGGCAAAGCAGTCACATTTTCTTATGATATGGATATCTCCTGGGGGGGAGGGGTGTAAGTATGTGTGTGCATCCCTACAGTGAAATGTGCAGACCATGAGAAGCTCTTACCAGATGCTGAAACAGCAGTAGATGTAGAAGTGGTAAATAGAAGACATAAAGTTCAAACCAAGGGTACGTCTATACTTCCCTCCGGGTCCGGCGGTAAGCAGTCGATCTTCTGGGATCGATTTATCGCGTCTTGTCTAGATGCGATAAATCGATCCCGGATCGATCCCGGAAGTGCTCACCATCGATGCTGGTACTCCTCTCGCGGAGCAGGAGTACGCAGAGTCGACGGGGGAGCCTGCCTGCCGCGTGTGGACCCGCGGTAAGTTCGAACTAAGATACTTCGACTTCAGCTACGTTATTCACGTAGCTGAAGTTGCGTATCTTAGTTCGAAGTGGGGGGTTAGTGTGGACCAGCCCCAAGAGAAGAGATCTATGCAACCAGTGTGGTAGAAGAGCAGTTGAAACAAAAGCATTTTTTACGGCAGAATCCAAAATGAGGGAATTGGAGAGAAATGTCTTCAAACTTATCAGAAATAAAGACTTTCATTTTTCCCATAGTTGTGCACAGTTTTGCTTACTGGTTTTTAGTGGAAAAAGGCATTAGGGATAGTTATGATACATAGCAACCTGCTGTTAAATCATGAATAAAAAATAATGGCAAAATGTCAAGGGGATAAAACCCATGCATAATCAGCATGCCCTTACCCTAGACAGATGTTTGATATTACATCTATCCCTGATAGAGGAAAAACTCAAGGTTCTACCTTTTCAGCACTTTTGAATTCTTGTGTAACAAATAAGCTATTAGTGAAATGAATTTAAAAATTGTGTGGCTATATTGGGGCATGTATATATTTAGAATGAAATTCACCCATCCCCACGCAAAGCATGACACTTTGCATTGATAACTCAGCCAGCCTTGTGATGGAGATGAAATTCAGTAGCCTTTTTTCCACTCCTTACAGTCCATTCTTCACCCACCTTATTTGTAGATAGTGAGGGCCCCTCTTCCAACATGCAAGGGGATTAAAGGAAATGTGATGCAAGTTTCATGTTGGTGAGAGGGAATAGTGTTGCATTTGTTGCAGCAATAAATGGTCAGGGCTGGGACAAGGCTTTGAAAGTGGAAATGGAGAGGAATACATGGACTTTGATGTCTTCTTTTGCTGCTTTTCCCCCCTCCTTCTTTGCACATGTTAATGCTGCTGTTAAATCCTGCTTGCTTTAACTTCAAAGTTTTGAGCCTTTGGGACAGAGAATAATGAAGTTGCCAGTGGTGAAGGAAGAAGATGGAAGCTTTAAAGATGAGACTTGGAATTAAGACACTAAACACTCTTAAAGATCCTATAGAGCTTTTACAAAGTGTGGGGGAGAGGCAGGGGTCCTGGAACAGTTTGTATAGTGGGGGTGCTGAGAGCCATTGAAGCAAACTGTAAACCCTGTACATGATGGAAACCACTTCAAGCCCGGGGATGTGGCAGCCCGCCCTTCCCTCCCATCAGCCCTAGTTCCATCACCTATGGGGAGAGGGTGTTAATCCAAGTGTCCTAATCAGATTTCAATTTGTGTATACTCTTTGTCTAGCAAACGCTTTCCCGTTGCTGCAATTTGAGAAGTTTTTCTTTTTTTTTTTTGCTGGCATAGAAAGGGAGATTTTTCTGTTGGTCTGTTTCAACACAGCTGAGTTGGGGGAATTAAATATTCATAGATTCTAAGGCCAGAAGCTAATCATCTAGTCTGATAACTGTATATAACAGGCATAGAACTGCCTCCAAATAATTCCTGTTTGAACTAGATTATATCTTTTAGAAAAACATCCAGTCTTGGTTTCATAAATGCTGGTGATGAAGAATCACCACAACACTTGGAAAAGTGTTCCAATCGTTAGTTAATCTAGGGTTACCATATTCAAACATTTTAAAAAAGAGGACACTCCATGGGGCCCCGGTCCCGCCCCCGGCCCTGCCCCAACTCCGCCCCTTCCCCAGCCCCACCCCAACCCCAACCCTTCTCCGCCCCCATTCCAACCCCTTCCCCAAAGTCCCTGCCCCAACTCTGCCCCCTCCTCTGAGCACCCCGCATTCCCCCTCCTCCCTCCCGCTCTGATCTTGGTTGGGGGTTGCTAAGTGCTTCCCTGCTCCCCACTCGCCCTGCAGCCCCTATGCCCTTGCCTGCTCTGCACCCTGCAGCCTCTGCACCCCCCCGCCCCTGAAGCCTCTGTGCCCCCTGCTCCCCACTCGCCCTGCAGCCTCTGCGCCCCCTGCCTGCCCCTGCACCCCCTGCCCCTGCAGCCTCTATGCCCCTGCCTGCCCTGCAGCCTCTGCGCCCCCTGTCTGCCCTGCCCCTGCAGCCTCTGCACCCCCCCACCCCTGCAGCCTCTGTGCCCTCTGCTCCTCCTTGCCCTGCAGCCTCTGCACCGCCTGCCTGCCCTGCCCCTGCAGCCGCTGCACCCCCCTGCCCCTGCAGCCTCTGTGCCCCGTGCTCCCCACTCGCCCTGTAGCCTCTGCGCCCCCTGCCTGCCCTGCCCCTGCAGCCTCTATGCCCCTGCCTGCCCTGCTCCTCCTCGCCCTGCAGCCTCTGTGCCCCCTGCCTGCCCTACCCCTGCAGCCTCTGCACCCCCCCACCCCTGCAGCCTCTGCTCCCCCCGCCTGCCCTGCCCCTGCAGCCTCTGCTCCCCCGCTCACCCGGCAGAGGGAGAGCTGCGGGCTCCACGTGGAATCAAACACTACCGCGCTGCTCTGTGGGGGAGGAGGGAGCGGGGGAGGGGGAGGGACTCTGGCTGCTAGAGGCCCTAGTGGCTGCGAGCGGCTTTCAATCAGGCCAGGCGTCCAATCAGCTGCGCCGCACTCCGGATGAGGGGAAGGAGGAAATCCCGGACATTTCTACTTGATTAGAAATCTCCCCCCGGACGGCCATTTAACACTGAAAAAGCCGGACATGTCCGGGGAAACCCGGACGGATGGTAACCTAGTTAATCTCCCCTGATAAAAACTTACACCTTATTAGATTTTATCACATTGGAAATGTTTAACAAAGTTCATGTTTTTGAACCTTCTGTGTTGAATACCCCTACAGGCTTGTCAAGTGAATGTTGATTAATTGTTGGGATGACAGAAGCTTAGAAATGAGACCTGGCATAGTTGCACATAGTTTGATACTTACTTTGCAGATTCTGAAATGTTAATATGCTTCCACTGTCAAAGACTAAAGGTCAGATTGTGCCTGGTCCCTGTATAATACACAAGGAAAGCTTCCAACTTTCCATTGTGCCTGGCCCCTGTGGAGAGAACAGAGGTGAAAGTAAGCTGGTATGGCGTACCGGACTGAACCAGCTTCCCCAGGCTGGTGCTTTAAAGGGCCCGGGGCTCCCTGCAGCGGCCGGAGCCCTGCTGCTGCTACCCTGGGGCTCAGGCGGCGGGACTTGGGTGGTGCTTTAAAGGGCCCGGGGCTCCTGCCGCTGCGGGGAGCCCTTTAAAGCGCCGCCTGAGCCCGGCTGCCAGAGCCCCAGGGTAGGGGTAGTGGCAGGGCTCCAGCAGTGCTTTAAAGGTCTCCCCATAGTGGCAGGAGCCCCAGGCCCTTTAAATCGCCCCTTAGCTCCGGGGTTTCCAGCCGCCTCTGCAGCTGGAAGCTCGGGGGGTTATTTAAAGGCCCTGGGGCTCCCAGCCGGAGCCCCGGGGCCTTTAAATCTTGATTTAAAGGCCACGCCTCTTCCGTTTGAGGCCAGGCCCCCACTCAGGACTCTGGCGTACCGGTAAGTCCTTTAAGTTACTGTCACCCCTGGGAGAGAATGCAAGTCCTTACACTCAGAAAGCGCAAAGATTTCACTGAGCTAGTACTGCTGCTGGAGCTGTTCACTGCAAATAGGGCTGAGAAAGGAGTGAGGCAAAACTACTGGACAAGTGATGAAGGGGAGTACTTACTGAATCCTCCAAGGGTTGGCACAGCATTTCCAAGCAATATTATTTGTGCCTCCTTGAGGCACAAACCAGCAAAGAGCTCTTGCAGCCGCAGGGCTTTTTCTCCATTGCTCCTGGAGCAAGACAAAGATTAAATGTCACAGTGGATCCTTGTACACATTAGTAAGTGTGAGCAGAATTAATTGAATTTGAATGTACTTTCTTTTTCTTTTAAATCTGAAACATTTAATAAAGGAAATACTCACTCTAATCTTATTCATTCAGGTATTTATCTCTCTGACTTGACGTATATTGACTCCGCATACCCATCTACAGGGAGCATTCTGGAAAGCGAGCAGAGATCAAATTTAATGAACAACATACTTAGAATAATCTCAGATTTTCAGCAGTCCTGTGAATATGGTAATCTAGCTCATTTATTTCTTTTGCAGTATTACTGAGGGCAACTAATAAAATAAAAATGTTCATCTTCTACCAAGCTGTTATTTAATAAGTCTTAACCAATTAATGTACCATTCCCATCTAAAACCATAAACCTTATTAAAACCAAATTCTGGAATTGTTGGGTTATCTCTCCTGTCAGCAGGCAAAGATAGAATGAGACTTACTTATCCTCTATTTATCTCTTCTGTATTTTCAAAATGCATGCTGTGAAGATCTGGCCTTCCTTGGGTGCAGGGGAGGTCAGCCCAGGCATGGTTATGGATGAGGGGGAACAAAAAACTGCAAAACAGTGGTGAGGGATTATTGTATTTTATGGCCCCAACTAAAGACAACAAGAGAAATATCTGCTTGTATGCAGATGTTTTCAAGAAACTCCCTTTGTCTAACGATGAATGACATAGTGATAACTGATATATTGCCTCTTCTCTAGATATTCCTCTGTTGCCTCATGTCCAAAAATACTTGAACTCAGTTCAATACATAGAAGAGCTACAAAAGTTTGTGGAAGATGACAATTACAAGTAAGTATAAAATTCTGCAACTGACTAGGTAACCTTTTATTTTTCCTTCTAAAAAAGTGAGTTTTATGTAACAGAAACCTTGAATACAATAATGAGCAGGCAAGAGACCCTGCTTTCATTTAGGTAAATGAATCCAACCTCAACGCTGCCACTCTTACTTCCATAAGTGTCTCTTTCTTTACTAGAAGGAGACTGAGAAGAAATTGGAGTTAGAAAATAAGCAACAGTAGTCGTGACGTAAATTTTTCCTTTAAACATTTTATTTTATGTTATTGTTTGAGGGATAGATATTTAAGAAAATTAAACATTAAAGTTGGAAAAAATCCAGTATAGTATCTTTACTCTGCTGTAAAACTGCAAAATGCTGTTGAAGGCAGAAAGTAAACAAACTGATCAGAGTAGAGATTTTTTTTTTCATTACTCTATTTCAGTAATTTTAGGTGTTGTAACAATAGAAAGAATTAAAAATGCAGAGTGGAATGTTTTTTTATTTGGAAAACCCTTTAAGCATAATAGAAGGGATACAGAAGTAGACAATGAAAATAACAGGCATGGAGAGACTTGCATATGAGGAGAGAGTGGAAAGATGGAACTGTTTGGAGAGGAGATATAAAGTAATAAAGATATACAAAGTAATGAATGGTATAGCGAAGGTAAACTAGGCACTCCTCTTTACACTTTTTCATATAAGAACTAAGGTGTATCCGATAGAATGGAAAGAAATACATTTACATTTGATAAAAGGAAATTACATTTTATACAACACTTAATTAACCTGTGTAACTCATTTGCCACAAGATATAATTGATTCCAAGACCTTAGCAAAATTCCAAAAAGAACTACATGTATCTAAGTAACTATAGAACATCCATAGGTTTATGGGAGAGATTAAAAATTATAAGGGATATAAATCCTCATGCTTCGGGGCATAAGCCAATCATTGGTGATAGCTAGAAAGAAAATTCCATGGAATTCCAAGGAAGCTATTCTATAATTGTTCATTAGAGATTCTTGCACCTTCTTGTGAACCATCTGGTGCTGACCACAGTCGGAGATTAGATATTGGACTAGAAGATATAGTGAATTGGTCCAAAGTAGCGATTCCTATCTTCATTTTATCGACTAGGCGAAGTCAATGGAGTCATGTGGTTTAACTGAATAAGGAATATGATTTTAGCAGTGCATATGCCTTTGTATACTGAGAAAATTGTGGAGATAATAACTTTAGTCTCTTCAAGGTGAAAGGAGATGGCCATTACTACTTTGAGAAAACCAATTGATACTTAAATCTTGTAGCATTTTCTTTCTCTTCAAAGGAAAACTACCCCTTTTCTCTGACAGGTGAAGGGTCAGAAAGGTAACTATCTACAATTAAGATAGTTACTTAAAATTAAGTCTCAGAAGAAAAAGTACTTAAACAGTTTCCTTTTTCATGAAGCTGTATTGAACTGGTAATTTTAAAATGTTAACAATATTGTATAAATTATTCCTGTGGCTAACAAACCTTTAAACTTTTATTTTCTAAAAAGTTCTTCCTAACTTCCTGTTAATTTAAAAATGGTCAATTCATCAAAATGTTCAGCAAAAAGCAGTTTGCAGCTTTCCAATAGTATTGAAGACATCATGGAAAAGTAAACAGCTTGAATTATTAACCCAGTCAATATGATTATATATTGTATCAAAAATCTACAGAAGGATATTTCATTTGTTTTTAAAATAGTAGAGCACATTTCACTGGTGATGTTTACCCCTTCACATAACATATGAACAAGGATCATCCAGTGAAATTAATAGGTAGCAGTTTAAAACAAACTTGTGGAAGTACTTCTTCCCACAACGCTCAGTTGACCCGTGGAACTCATTGCCAAGGGATGTTGTGAGGGCCAAAAGTATATCTGATTCAAAAAAAGAATTAGATAAGTTCATAGAAGATAGGTCCCTCAATGGCTATTAGCCAAGATGGTCAGGGATGCAACTCCATGCTTTGAGTGTGTCTACCCCTCTGACTACTAGAAGCTGGAACTGGAAGATGGGGTGGATCACTTGATAAATTTGTCGTCTTCTGTTCACTCCCTCTGAAGCATCTGGCACTGGCCACTGTCGGAAGACTGCGTACTGGGCTAGACGGATCATTGATCTGACCCAGTGTGGCCACTCTTATGTTCTTATTGGTTAAAATTTATAGGGCAGGGGTTCTCAAACTGGGGGTCGCGACCCCTCAGGGGGTCGTGAGGTTATTACATGGGGGATCGCAAGCTGTCATCCTCCATCCCAAACCCCGCTTTGCCTCCAGCATTTAAAATGGTGTTAAATATATAAAAAAATGTTTTTAATTTATATGGGGGGGTCGCACTCAGAGACATGCTATGTGAAAGGGGTCACCAGTAAAAAAGTTTGAGAGCCACTGTTACAGGCCACTGTTACAGAACAAATTAAAACAGAGGATAACAAATGGTTTTGCCTATTGTGACTCCTGCACGTGCCTTTTTCTTTTCATCACTGCTGTAGAAAGCAGAACATCAAGTACAATAAATATAAACTTAGGTTAAGTTAAAAAAAAAAAAAAAAAAAAAAGTGGGTTGGTTGTTGCCCCCTTTTAATTGCTAGTGAGTGATATGCATATCTGAAATTTCTCATATGTGCATAGCCTCTCTTACACTTGTGATAGCAAAACTTCTTGCAGCATAAGCCAACAAATATTTTAGCTTTCAAAGCTTTACATTAAAACACTTCAGGTTCCTGATAAATTAACACTTTAACTTCTATTCCTTTTTTAATGCAGGCTTTCATTAAAGATAGAGCCAGGAACCAGCACCCCTCGTTCTGCTGCTTCCAGAGAAGATTTAGTAGGTAAATGCTTACTTACCAGAAGACATCAAAATTTGAAATCCATTCTCCACTGCCTTTGAGTTACTAGTACAAAAAATATTTTCCTAAAAGTGAAGTGCGATAAAAGATTTACAAAACATATTTGTCATAAAAATTCTAAATTTGTTCTGTAAGTAGACTCTTGTTGTCATAGGAAACTGAGTCAGTTCCTTGGTTTAAATATGAAATTTAACTTTAAATTTAAATATTCATTGTCTGCCATGTCACACTAAATAACTTCATATTTGCTGTTTTCCCTCTTAAATACCTTTTCTTTCTTGGAACAATTACCTGTCAAAGGTGTATATCTTGTTTGATCTGCAGCATACAAGATGTACATTTAAAAATGTTTTATGGTGGGATTTTCAAGAGTCTATGGGACTTAGGAGCACAAGTTCAAATATTTTCAATGGGACTTGTGCTCCTAATTCACTTGGGTGCTGTTGAAAATCTACTATGTCTACACGACGAAATTACTCCAATTTTACAGAAGTCGATTTTTGGGAACAGATTGTATAAAGTCGAGTGCACGCATCCACACTAAGCACATTAATTCGGCAGTGTGCGTCCATAGAACCGTGGCAAGCGTTGACTTTCGGAGCGGTGCACTGTGGTAGCTATCCCAAAGTTCCCGCAGTCCCCGCTGCCCACTGGAATTCTGGGTTGAGCTCCCAATGCCTGATGGGGCCAAAAATCTGTCACGGGTGGCTATGGGTAAATGTCGTCAGTCAACCCCCTCTCCCACCCCCCCATGAAAGCAACGGCAGACAATCATTTTCCACCCTTTTCCCTGGATTGCCCGAGCAGACACCATAGCACGGCAAGCATGGAGCCCGTTCAGCCTTTTTTCACTGTCACCGTATGTCTACTGGATGCTGCTGACAGACGCGGTGCTACAGTGCTACACAGCAGCAGCTGCAGCTCCTTGCCTTTGCAAGTTAGCAAAGATGGTTACCAGTCATACTGTACCATCTGCTGCTGTCATGGGTGCTCCTGGCCGGCCTCTGTGAGGTCGGTCGGGGGCGCCTAGACAAAAATGGGAATGACCCCCAGGTCATTCTCTTCTTTAAGTTTTGTCTAATAGAGATTCAGTGCTGCCTAGAATATCAGGCAAGCCTACTAAAGAACCACAGATGCAAGCAGCCGCTCCGGGTCAGAGCCCCAGACATCCCGCAGAAATGATGAGCTGCATGCCATTCTAGGGGGTGCCCGTACAACAACCCCACCCGTTGCTTCCCTCCTCCCCTACCCCTCCCGGGTTACATTGGCAGTTATCCCCCCATTTGTGTGATGAAGTAATAAAGAGTGCATGAATTTGAAACAACACTGACTTTATTGCCTCTGCAAGCAGCGATCAAAGGGGGCAGGGGAGGGCGGTTGGCTTACAGGGAAGTAGAGTGAACCACCATTCTGCACTTGCTCAGCCTATAGTCTGTCCATCATGGCCTTGGAGATTTATCCGAGTTCAGATTGCTGTCCAGAGCGGTCACAGTGGTGCACTGTGGGATAGCTCCCGGAGGCCAATACAATCAACTTGCGTCCACACTAACCCTAATTTGAACCGGCAATGTTGATTTCAGCGCTACTGCCCTCATCGGGGAGGAGTACAGAAATCGATTTTAAGAGCCCTTTATGTCGACAAAAATGGCTTCGTTGTGTGGACGGGTGCAGGGTTAATTCGATTTAATGCTGCTAAATTCGACCTAAACTCGTAGTGTAGACCAGGCCTTAGACTGAAAGTACAATTATTTCTTTAAAATAACTGCTCCTAATATATTATAAAAGAAATGCTATTAAAGAAGACATCTGGTTAACTAGCAAAAGATTCAGCCTATGTAAGGAACTGGTGTAACCACAGGTCAGGGCCTGTGAGCCAATTTACCCTCTGAAATAATGCACATTTAGTTTAGAAATAAACTTTTTCAACATTACACATTTTTACAGGGAAATTATTATTATTAAAATTTAGCTTGAGGGTATGCAGTAAGAGAAAATGCTGTGGTACATAGAATCTTAGAAATGTAGGGCAAGAAGGGACCTTGAGAAATCATCTAATCCAGCCTCCTGCACTGAAGCAGGACCAAGTATACCTATACTGTCTCTGACAGGTGTTTATCAAACCTGTTTTTAAAGATCTCCAATGACAGATATTCCACAACCTCCCTTAGTAGCCTGTTCCAGTGCTTAGCTATCCTTATACAGTAGAACCTCAGAGTTACAAACACTTCGGGAATGGAGGTTGTTCGTAATTCTGAAATGTTCGTAACTGAACAAACGTTATGGTTGTTCTTTCAAAAGTTTTCAACTGAACGACTTAATACAGCTTTGAAACTTTACTATGCAAAAGAAAAATGCTGCTTTCCCTTGATTTTTTTTTTTGTCGTTTACATTTAACACAGTACTGTACTGCATTTGCTGCCTTTTTTTTTTGTTTGTTTTTTGGTCATTTCTGCTGCCTGATTGCATACTTCCAGTTCCAAATGAGGTGTGTGGTTGACTGATGTGTTCGAAACTCTGAGGTTCTACTGTAGTTAGAAAGATTTTCATGCTGTCTAACCTACGTCTCCCTTGCTAGCTAACCTAAATCTCCAGATTAAACCCATTACATCTTGTCCTATGTTTAGTGGACATGGAAAACAATTTATCACCGCTGTCTTTATAACAACCCTTAACATATTTGAAGTCTTATCAGGTTTCCCCTCAGTCTTCTTTTCTCAAGACTAAATATGGCCTTTTTTTTTTTTTTAAACCTTTTATCATTTTTTGTTGCTCTCCTCTGGACTCTCCAGTTAGTCCATATCTTTCCTAAAATGTGGTGCTCAGAACTGGACATAGTACTCCAGCTGAGTCCTCACCAGTGCCAAGTAGGCAGGACAGTTACCGCCTATTAATATACGCCCAAACAATATTAGCCTTTTTACCCACTGCATCACATTGTTGACTCGTATTCCGTTTATGATCCACCATAACCCCCAAATCCTTTTCAGCAGTACTACTGCCTAACCAATTATTGCCCATTTTGTAGTTGTGCATTTGTTTTTTTTCTTCCTGAGTGTAGTACATTGCACTTTATTGAATATCATCATGTTGATGATATTGTCCAATTTGTGAGTCATTTTGAAGCTCTTGCCACCCCTCCCAGCTGGTGTCATCCAAAAATTTTAGAAAGATTCTCTCCACTCCATTATCTAAATAATTAATGAAAATATTGAATGGTACTGGACCCAGGACTGACCCCTGCCAGACCCCACTAGATACATCCTCCCTATTTGGCAGCAAACCATTGATAACTACTCTCTGAATACAGCCTTTCAACCAGGTTTGGAACTACTGTGTAGTAATTTCATCTACACCACATTTTCCTAATTTACATATAAGAATGTCATGTGGAACTTTCTCAGAAGCCTTACTAAAATCAAGATATATCATGTCTACATCTTTCCCGCTATCCACTAAGCCAATAACCCTGTCAAAGAAGGAAATCAGGTTGGCGTGGTATGATTTGTTCTTGACAAATCCATGCTGGCTATTATGTACAATCCTGTTATTCTATAGGTGCTTAGAAAATGATTGTTTAATAATTTGTTCCAGTATTTTTCCAGGTATCAAAGTTAAGCTGCTGGTGTATAGTCCCCTGGGTCCTCTTTGTTCCCCATTTTAAAGATAGGTACTATGTTTGCTCTTCTCAGTTCTCTGGGACCTCGTGCATCCTCCATGTGTTCTCCAAGATAATTACTAGCATATGTCTCTCTAAGGTTACAGGATACATTAAAAAAATTGTATTTGGGTAATCATAGAGTTGCAGGACTAGAAGGGACCTTGAGAGGTCATCTAGTCCAGTCCCCTGCACTCATGGCAGGACTAAATATTATCTAGACCATCCCTGTCCGGTGTTTTTCTAACCTGCTCTTAAAAATCTCCTACTATAGAGTTTCCACAACCTCCCTAGGCAATTTATTCCAATGCTTAACTACCCTGAGAGTAAGGAAGTTTTTCCTAATATCCAACCTAAACTGCCCTTGCTGCAATTTAAGCCCGTTGCTGCTTGTCCTGTCCTCAGAGGTTAAGGAAAACAATTTTTCTCCCTCCTCCTTGTAACAATCTTTTTTATACTTGAAAACTGTTATCATGTTCCCGCCCCCCTACCCCCCCCCCCAGTCTTCTCTTCTCCAGACTAAATAAACCCAATTTTTTCAATCTTCCCTCATAGGTCATGTTTTCTAGACCTTCAATCATTTTTGTTGCTCTTCTCTGGACTATTTCCAATTTGTCCAGATCTTTCCTGAAATGTGGTGCCCAGAACTGGACACAGTGCTCCAGTTGAGGCCATATCAGTGCAAAAGAATTACTTCTCATGTCCTGTTAGAACACCCCTGCTAATTCATCCTGGAATTAATTTTTTTTTTCTTTTCAATAGTGTTACGTTGTTGACTCATATTTAGCTTGTGATCCACTATGACTAGGGCCCTACCAAATTCACGGTCCATGTTGGTCAATTTCACAGTCATAGGATTTTAGAAATCAAGCCACGCTCTCCAGCCACCAAGCTCTGAAGACTGCCACCCATACTTCTGTGCTATACCATGACACCCCTACAATAACCTTGCGAACCCCTCCCCCACACAACCCTCTTTTGAGTCAGGACCCCGTTTGAGAAATGCTGATCTTCCCTGTGAAATCTGTATAGTATAGGGTAAAAGTACACAAAAGACCAGATTTCACGGTCTGTGACACATTTTTCACAGCTGTGAATTTGGCAGGGCCCTAATTGTGACCCCAGATCTCTTTCTGCAGTACTCTTTCATAGGCAGTCATTTCCATTTTGTATGTGTGCAACTGATTGTTCCTTCCTAAGTAGAGTAATTTGCATTTGTCCTTACTGAATTTCATCTTATTTACTTCCGACCATTTCTCCAGTTTGTCCAGACCATTTATAATTTTAATCCCATTCTCCAAAGCACTTGCAACCCTCCCAGCCTGGCATCGTCCGCAAACTTGATAAGTGTACTTTCTATGGCATTATCTAAATCATTGATGAAGATCTTGAACAGAACTGGGCCCAGAACTGATCCCTGCAGGACCCCCCTCGATATTCCCTTCCAGCTTTACTGTGAACCACTGATAACTACTCTCTGGGAATGTTTTTCCAACCAGATAAGCACCCACCTTATAGTAGATCCCCCACTTGGTAAGGCAACTCCATTTTTTCATGTGCTGTATATTTATACTTGCCTACTGTATTTTTCACCCCATGCGTCTGATGAAGTGGGTTATAGCCCACGAAAGCTTATACCCAAATAAATTTGTTAGTCTCTAAGGCAGGGGCGGGCAAACTTTTTGGCCTAAGGGCCGTATCGGGTTTCAGGAATTGTATGGCTGGCTGGTTAGGGGAGGCTGTGCCTCCCCAAACAGGCAGGCGTGGCCTGGCTCCCACCCCCTATTCCCCCCCCCCTGCTTCTTGCCCCCTGACGGCCCCCTGGGACTCCTGCCCCATCCATCCCCCTGTCCCCTGACCGCCCCTAACTTCCCACCGCCCCATCCAACACCCCCTCTCCTTCCTGACTGTCCCCCAGGGACCCCTGCCCCATCCAACCACCCCTTCTCCCTGGCCCCTGACCACCCCCGGAACCCCCACTCCTGACTGCCCCCAGCTGCCCCATCCAACCCCTCCTCTCATTCCTGACTGCTCCCCCAAAACCCCTGCCCCATCCACCCCCCCGTTCCCTGACCCCCACTGGAATCCCTGCCCCTGACTGCCTCCCGTCGCCCCATCCAACCCTTCCTGACTGCCCCCCTCCCGGGACCTCTGCCCCATCCAACCACCCTTCTCCCTGACTGCCCCCGGAACCTCTGCCCCCATTCAACCCCCCTGTTCCCTGCCCTCTGACCGCCCTGAACCCTATCCACACGCCCGGCCCCTGACCACCCCCTGAACTCCCCTGCCCTCTATCCAGTCCCCCTCCCCCGCTCCCTGGCCCCTTTACTGCGCTGCCTGGAGCACCATGACAGACAGCCACACCGCCCGGCTGGAGCCAGCCACGCACCGCGCAGCACAGAGCACCGGGTCAAGCCGGGCTCTGCAGCTGTGCTGCCCCAGGAGCTCCCCGACCAGAGCATTGCGCCAGTGGCTCAGTGAGCTGAGGCTGCGGGGTAGGGGGAACAACAGGGGGCTAGTCTCCCAGGCCAGGAGCTCAGGGGCTGGGAAGAACGATCCCACGGGCTGGATGTGGCCCGCCGGCTGTAGTTTGCCCACCTGTGCTCGAAGGTGCCACAAGGACTCCTCGTTGTTTTTGTTGATACAGACTAACACGGCTACCCCTCTGAAATCTATCTCTATCTAGGTTGTATTTCCCTAGTTTGTTTATGGGAAGGTCATGGAAGATAGTATCAAAAACCTTAGTGAAGTCAAGATATACTGCATCTACCGCTTCCCCCCATCCACAAGGCTTGTTACCCTGTCAAAGAAAGCTATTAGGTTGGTTTGACACAATTTGTTCTTGACAAATCGATGCTAGCTGTTACTTATCACCTTATTATCTTCTAGGTGTTTGCAAATTGATTTTTTAATTTATTTTCTCCATTATCTTTCTGAGTATAGAAGTTAAGCTGACTGGTCTGTAATTCCCCGCGTTGTCCTTATTTCCCTTTTTTATAAATGGGCACTATATTTGCCCTTTTCCAGTCCTCTGGAATCTCTCCCATCTTCTGTGACTTTTAGAAGATAATCGCTAATGGCTCAGATATCTACTCAGTCAGCTCCTTGAGTATTCTAGGATGTATTTCATCAGACCCTGGTGACTTGAAGACATCTAACTTATAGAAGTAATTTTTAATTTTTTTGTTCCCTATTTTAGCCTCTGATCCTACCTCATTTTCACTGGCATTCACTATGTTAGATGTCCAATCTTTACTAACTTGTTTGGTGAAAAATGAAACAAAAACTTTATCTAGCACTTCCACCATTTCTACATTTTCTGTTGCTTTTTCCCCACTGACTGACTAACGGGCCTATCCTGTTCTTGGTCTTCCTCTTGCTTCTAATGTATTTGTAAAATGTTTTGTTGTTACCCTTTATGTCTCTAGCTAGTTTAATCTCGTTTCGTGCCTTGTGTTATTTGTTTATATTCATCCTTTGTAATTTGACCTAGTTTCTGCTTTTTGTAGGACTCTTTTTTGAGTTTCAGATCATTGAAAATCTCCCGGTTAAGCCAGCGTGGTCTTTTGCCATGCTTCCTATCTTTCCTATGCAGTGGGATAGTTTGCTCTTGTGCCCTATATAATATCTCTTTGAAAAACTGGGCGCTCTCTTGAACTGTTTCTCCCCTTAGACTTGCTTCCCATGGGATCTTACCTACCAACTCCCCGAGTTTGCTAAAATCTGCCTTCTTGAAATCCATTATCTTTATTGTGCTGTTTTCCCTCCTACCATTCCTTAGAATCATGAACTCTACCATTTCATGATCACATTCACCTAAGCTGCCTTCCACTTCCAAATTCTCAACAAGTTCCTCCCTATTTGTCAAAATCAAATCTAGAACAGCCTCTCCTGTAGTAGATTTCTCCACCTTCTGAAATAAAAAAAAAAAACTGTCTCCAATACATTCCAAGAACTTGTTGGATAATCTGTGCCTTGCTATGTTGTTTTCCCAACAGATGTCTGGGTAGTTGAAGTCCCCCTTCACCACAGAGTCCTAAGCTTTGGATGATTTTGTTAGTTACTTAAAAAAAGCCTCGTCCACCTCTTCTTCCTGCTTAGGTGGTCTGTAGTAGACCCCCTACCATGACATCACCCTTGTTTTTACCCTTTTTATCCTTACCCAGAGATTTTCAACCAGTCTGTCTCCTATTTCCATCTCAGCCTTAGTTGACATGATCTTCCACAGTTTCCTTAAAGACACTATTTTAGTGTATACAAGGAAAGGAACAGAATTAAGGTGGTGATTGGAATCTTGAATCTGAATTTCCTGATCTTTGTGCAATGAAATAGCAAAGTTAATATTTTGTAAGGAATCTTATCTATCAAGAAATCAGATTGGGCACCATTGCATCCAAAACCAGTAAGGCTACCTATTAAGCTAAAGTTGAATCTGCTTCTCCTGTTTTATTTGTGGCTTTAAGACAACTATCTAAAGAACAAAAGATATGTAAATGTGCTATACAGTATGTCTACACTGCAATTGGCTTCTACCAGTTGACTCAGGCTCACGGGGCTTGAGCTAAGGGGTTGTTTAAGGGCTTGAGCTGCAGGGCTTGAGCTAACGAGTTGTGTAGACATTCAGGCTTGGGCTGCAGTCCTGGCTGTAGGACCCTGCAAGGTGGGAGGGTCCCAGACCTGAGTGTCTATACCTCAATTAAACAGCCCCGCAGCACAAGCCCTGTGACCCCGAGGAAGCTGGCATGGACCAGGTGCAGGTTTTTAACTGCAGTGTAGACATACCCATCAATTCCTATACAGCCAGTTTCTCCATTCCCAACAGACTTGACCTGGCTCTGCTTTGCCTTTGTAATGCTCCAGGTTTTTTAACAGATTTATTATTTTAATAAGAATAAATAATATTATTTTAAAATTACATAGAATAATAAAATTTATGGTTGCTTCCCTCTCTGTGTCATGGAGAAAAAGCCCTTTTATTTCACAATGATGTTAGGAGGAATAACTACTTAATGGTAAAACTATGTTATAAAGATGAAAAGGTTAAGATCAAAAGAAACCTTTTCCTTATTCCTTTTAGATGCTTCCTTTGTATCAGAGTATGCCAAAAGACACATTACTTGTCTAATGGGAATGTATAGTATAATGGTTTGACTTTTTAAAAGACTCAAATGTTTATATTCTTATTCCTTTTTTAACAATACACCTCTACCCCGATATAACGCTGTCCTCGGGAGCCAAAAAATCTTACCGTGTTATAGGCGAAACAGTGTAATATCGAACTTGCTTTGATCCACTGGAGAGCGCAGCCCCACCCCGCCGGAGCTTTGCTTTACCGCGTTATATCCGAATTCGTGTTATACTGAGTCGCGTTATATCGGGGTAGAGGTGTAATTATCAGCTCCTCTTAAACTGAATTTTAATTTTGTACTTTAGCAAGATCCTGCAGTATTTTCTCAGAAAGAATCTTATACAATTTTTAGAAAGATATGAACCTTGTGGTGTTGGGGTTTTTTTTGGAGGGCTGATAAATAGCATTTGAAATAGTCACACGGGTATTTCTCATGCTCAGTTGGAATTTTCTATTTTTCCTTTGCTCACAGGCTCTGAAGTGGGAGCATCTCCACAAAGTGCACGGAAAAATGTTGCAGCTGAAGGAGCATTGCTCCCACCAACTCCCCCATCACCTAGGAACCTGATACCACATGGGCATAGGAAATGTCACAGCTTGGGATACAAGTCAGCATTTTATTTACTTTTACGAGTTTGAGCATTTACATATTGGACTGTCTTCTGACAACAAAAGCTTTTGCTTTAAAAAGTGAAGTATTTAATTAGCAATCTTTCTATATTAAGACCACAAAACACAGCTCATATTCTGGAAGGAATTTATGCAAGAAACAGGGTTTGTCGATTCGTTAATCAGTTTTTTTTAACTTGCATTATGATGTCTTACTGCTTGCCTCTGAAAAGTTGTGTTCCTTACAGCTCGCCTTCTGTGAGTGAGTCTGACTCAGGAAACGATGAACCAGATCTTCCTCAGTTAGAGTACCTGACCTGGATTTCCTCATTGCACACTTAACATAAAATTGCTTTTTAAGTAAAAATAAAAAAGGTCCTGATACTTATGTGATTTAAGAGCTTGCATGGATTGCATCTTGTTACCTGCAGCAATTTGGGTTTCCTTTATTTTTTGAATTTGCAAGAGCAGATCCCATGAGATTCCAAATCTGCCAAGTACAATATGATTGCTTAGAACCAGAGCACCTTTCTCTATGTGAAGCTGAAATAATTCTGTCTCACAAGTTTGCTCATTTAGTATGGTACTTCAAGTAGTAGATTTTTAATATTTTTTTAAGCAAGTGGTGTTTAGTTCCTTTTTAATCAGTTACCCTTCTAATTAATATTCTCCTTTCCCTTATGCCTTCCATAAATTACACCTGAAAGGAATTGAGTCCATAACTAAGTGCATCCAGTTTTTATTGTTTTGAGATGAACTAATTATCTCCAATTGTATGAGACATGTTGAATTATTTCTTTCTGTAAACTTGCTTGCATGAAATTTAACCTCTACAATTGCTGTTTAAAGAAGAAAAACATCCTATACATGCAATGAAGTCCCCTCTATCCCAAAAGAATGGAGAGAAAAAAACTTTTTGTTTTGGACTTTTGTGCTCCTTAATTTTGTAACAGGCAAACACACTTTAGTGGGACTGTCAATTTAAAAGTTGTGGTAAAGCCATTCTCAGATTTGTTCTGTCCTAACAGAACTCTAAAGCAGGGGTCGGCAACCTTTCAGAAGTGGTGTGCCGAGTCTTCATTTATTCACTCTAATTTAAGGTTTCGCGTGCCAGTAATACATTTTAACGTTTTTAGAAGATCTCTTTCTATAAGTCTATAATATATAACTAAACTATTCTTGTATGTAAAGTAAATAAGGTTTTAAAAATGTTTAATAAACTTCATTTAAAATTAAATTAAAATGCAGAGCCCCCTGGACCGGTGGCCAGGACCCGGGCAGTGTGAGTGCCACTGAAAATCAGCTCGCGTGCCGCCTTCGGCACGCGTGCCATAGGTTGCCTACCCCTGCTCTAAAGGAACCACGTAGACTTTATTATATATATACTTTACCAAATATTGGTACACAGCACTGTATCTCCAAGACTCACATTAATGGCAACTCGAGTCACAGAGCCAAATCTCTGTGCACTGCACTGGAAATTTATCCCAAATGATTGACTGGTTTCAGAACTTCTTCTAGCTCAGTAGTCTCTAGCAATAACAATGTTTACCTACAGAGAAATGATAAACTGCTAATTTCATTTTTTCTTCGAACGCTCCTTTTGTGTATTCATAGTTCTTGAAGAGCTGAGATTTGTCCTGTTAGCTTCTGAGATTCATGGCAGTAGCTCTAACAGAGCTTATAATGAGAAGTTAGCTACTATGTGTTCGTGTACCCATTATAGCTCAAGACTTCTGTGTAGAGTTGTATGGGACAGGATCTGTACTTTTCTGTATCCTTAGGCAGTTCTGAATTCCACATGAACTTAAAATATGGAGCTCTGTGTAGAATGTTACTTTTAGAGAACAATAGTTATACAGGTAAGGAATTCTACACTACAGTGAGAATACCAGTCTCAATGGATTCCTACACACTGGCTCTTGCATCTGTGGGAAGAGCTGGCAGGAACTCAGAAGTTCTAGCTGTCAGAATCAACTGGTGTTGGTTTGCTCTCCCCAATGCTCTGATGAGCTGTGATTGACTATTGTTCATGAAGGAGTTCCCCTGGCACTGCAGACCATTAATCAGTAACACTTGTCCCATGTCAGCATAAAGTTTCTCAGTTTTGACTTCTGTTTCCCAGTGTACCCTTTACTATAGTCTCTAGTCAGTCTCTAATTAAAACATTTGGATTTTTTTTTTTTAATAGAGGCATTTTCCACCAAGATACCTATTGAGTTTTGACATTCCAATGTGCTATTACCCCCTTCTGCTCCACTCTGAGCTAGATATGGTCCAATTGCATCATTGACATTCTGGCCTTTGGTCTGTTTACATCATTCTTTTAGAGAAGCAGATTCATTCTTCCTTCATGAAGCATTTGATTTAAAAAAAAAAAAAATATTGAAAGTCCAATAAAAATCATGGAGTTTTTATTTGCTCTTTCATATTGACTACTCTTAAAAACCCATGCAGAAAAACTTCTAGACCAGCTTTATATCTCACATGCCACTTACCTTTTGCTGAGGCAGATAGTCAACTTCCTTTTAACCTATAATTAAATCTGTTCCATGGCTGAGCAACCCTCCTTACCCTTCTTTTGAAAATATACCCAAAAACTATGTCAGTGTCTCCTCAGTTCCCTTGTCACCTCAAGGAGCACGTTCTAGAGATTATTCTCTAATTCATCTCTTTCATGTGAAAGCTTTATAAACTACAATAAAAACATGACGTTTATCTGTGCAAGTATGAGGCTAACGTGACCTCGTTTTGTCCCTAGCATATAAAATACAGTTAATTTTCAAAGTTCTTATAATTAAATTAAAGCACTTTCATTTTCATTCAGATAAATGTTATTTCAAGCAACAGTCATCCCTCGGTCCTCAGGGGCATTGTGCAGTTTTGGTACTAATAACCCATGCGAGTTATACCACTAGAGTTTTGTCAATGACCCAATTAAATTATCAAGGGGTGCACAGCAAACTACGTATTATTCTTTAATACCTTGAAACAGTGGCTGTTGAAATGTATTAAAAATATTTGTATCCTCATTTGTTCCAGTTTCATACACAAAATGAATACAGCAGAGTTTAAAAGTGCAACATTCCCCAACGCAGGACCAAGACACCTATTGGACGACAGTGTCATGGAACCTCATGCCCCATCCAGAGGGCAAGCAGAGAGCTCCACCCTTTCGAGTGGAATTTCAATAGGTGAGACATTTTTAAAATGTAGCTGTGCTAGTAAAAATGTGTTTTAGTACAGTTGACTTGAAGGTGTGTACCAGCAGGACTGTTATAAAATCGTAATAGCGTTTTAGAACAAAGGTAGGCAGGAATGTGCAGTGGGGGCGGGGGGACTGTGTGTGAAAAGTGGCCGAATAAATGGCATGACCTGAACTAGAGCTGAGAGATTATTAGATGATTGTTTTTAAACCTATTCAGTGATGCATCCAAACAATAATTGTTTTACCACTTTCTTTCCAGATATTTTTCCAAGCAAATCCTTTGTTCAAATCATGCCAAATTAAAACTTTTTGCCTTTTGGCACTGATCATTATTTAAAATGTAATACTGAATTAACAACACAAATTTAAATTGTAGAAAAGAGAACCTCTATCTAGTAAGTTTTCTTACTGGAGAAGGTGGTAATCTTCACATGTTTCAGATAAGCACATACTGAGTGTGCATTAGTAAATTATTGGTGCAGGCTTCACCCATTAAACTACATGAGAAACTTGTCTGTTAATTGTGTGTCTTATAGCTTAATAGAGTATTGCTCATTATTTTGAATTCCAGGTTTTGAAAACAATTTTGGTGGATAAGGGAGTTTAAGTTTTATCCTTCTACTGGGAGAAATAGCTCCTAGTAGGATATGTAGTGATTAAAAAAAAAAGATTAAAAACAATAAATATATTCAAAATAAGAGGAGACAGTTGCTTGTTAAAATTTTCTACCAATTTTTGTTTCTAAACTTTCCTGCATCATTTAGGGCTTGTCTACACTACCGCTTAAGTCGATGCAACTTACGTCTCTCAGGTGTGTGAAAAAGGCATCCCCCTGAGCGATGCAAGTTACATCGACCTAAGCGCTGTCCACACGAGCACCAATGCAGCTGCACCGATGTAGCACTGTAGTGAAGACTAATCCTTAGACTCTTTTTCCCTCCTCCTACTATCCGGGAGCCAGGCTACCCTTTTAAGTAGCATTTTATGCCCCAGCATCTATGTTCAGCTGACCTTCATTGACGACTTCAGGAGTTGCAGTTGTTCAGCATCTCTCAGGATTAAGTTTTAGCTATGTAATTCTCAATTTAGCTTATAAAATAAAGGTTGCATTAAAAATCACTGGCACTTCTGTTGCTGTTGAAAGGGAGCTGGCACATTTTGAGAAATTTTAAATTTTCACTTTCCTCTGTCTCTTTCTGCTCCTTTCCCCTGTGTGACTTCTGTTATATTTATTTGTCTGTTTGGTCCACTTGCCCACTCACGCATTTACTATAGTGGGTGGTCACTGATGTGTTTTGCAGGGGGGTTTTTTAGGGGTGAAGTCCTAGATGTGTACCTCTGGGAGTCTATGCTTGAGTGTGAAATCCAAATGGTTCAACCAGTCAATAAGAAACATAGCTTTTGTCCATTAAAATTCAAACAATACTATAATATGTTTATAGTTCATCCAGTCTTGCAGAAATTCTTTTGGGCCCAAATCCATTTCTAATTTCAGACTAATTCCTCTGACCTTTCCTCCTGGAGGAAAGTGGTAAAAATTTTAGAATCATTAGTGTCTGTATATTCCTGCCTTAAACAAAGACAAAAGTCTTTACTACAATGTGTTCCAGTTTCTCAAGTATAACTCCAGTCCTTATCCTTACAGTGGCAGAAGCTGTAATGCTACAGGGTAAGAGAAAGATATTTAACTTCAACTGAACTAATTCAAGAAAGCGTCTCTTTATAAGAACAGTGTCTTTTCAGGTTTAAGTTGAAATAAAAATATGTATCGTAGTGTCAACATTTTTATGAATTTTCCTATTAAGTCACACTCCTGAAATACTTGGATTCCAAATGAGATTATATTTTTATAAATAAGTGGTGTGTGTAGATAGGTTACAGTACATACATTGGCTTTCTATTTTTGGGACCCTATCCAGTAGGAGAGAACTCCACAGAACTGCTGTGTGATGCGGCCCCCTGGAGTACACTGTTCAGGTGTTTGGAATCCTTCTAAGTCAGAAGCAAACTGCTTTGGGAAATCAAATCTGGGGCCTAGGAACAGGAAGATAGTCACCTCTGAACATGCAAATAAATGACTTTCTTTTCTCCTAAACCTCGGTCTCATGCTTGGTATTGCATAAAGCTACATATAAGTTAACTGAGCTTATGGCAAGGGCATAAATTGAGGAAATAACTGAGGGCTGTGAATACACAAGTTTCATTTTTAGGTTGTTACTACAAATCCAGGGCATACAGTCACTATCCAATGTGTTGTGTGTATGTTTTATCTCTCATGGACAGTATAACACATTGTCCTTCTCATTTTGACAGTAGTATTGGGAGCAGTAGATGTATACTACTGGTTGACATTCTCTGTCTTCTTGATGTTGGTACTCTTTATTCTAGATTTTTTTTTTTGTTTTGTTAGGCAACCGTCTGTAATTTAATTGGTGTTCCAACTAAAAAAAAAATTCTAAAACCCATTATGGTGGCCTTGTGATAGGATAGAGCTGAATCACTTTGGGAGCTTGGTCTTTGAGAAGTTGGTGAGTAGCCTTGTCCCATAGGATACTTGCATTGGACTGGTGCACTTTTATTAATGATTTTGACAAAGCTGTCAGATATATGCATTAAAATTTACAGATGCCAGAATAGGTAGTGTTAGAACTTAGTGATATAGCGGTCTTATAAACTTAAGTAGAATATGAAATATGATGGACCAAATTTATTGCTGCTGTTAGTCAATGGAGTTACATAAATTATGAATTTGACCCAAGGTAAATCTCTGTAAAATGATGCCCTTGAGTATAAACAGTGTGCAAGATAAGTAAAATTTAAGTAGTCCTGAATTTATTTAAAATATTGTAGGGAAAAGTTCTGATTTTAATAACAGACTCAGCAGGGGTAAATTGGCTCCATCCCTAACTTCAGCAGAGCTGTTTAAGTTTACAGCAACTGAGGATCTGGCCTAACAAAGAGGATCCCCAAAGAAAAATTGGGCTTGTCCTTTTTTTCTTCATGATATCTAAAGAAGGCTGAAATGTTTTTCCTGAGAAAGAGATCTCTTTCCACTTGTGTTTTAGGTTAAAAATTCAAGTGCCCTCTAGGCTAGAGATGGTCTATGGTGATTGGAGCACTAGAATAATGATGACATCATAGGAGTCAAAAAAGGGAGGAAATTTTAGTCTGAATATTTTTTTTAAACTGTCGGGTTTGTTTTGTTTTTATTAATACTCACTTAACTTATATGATGAACATCTGGATATAGAAAGCCTATATTAAAGATTCAGCACCCTCATACTTTCAGTCAAGGTATTAGAGCTCACAGTAAACAACCCTGAGATCTCTGAGGTTATCCAGCCAAATCAGTGAACACCAAACTTGCCATTCCTGATATTTCGAAGGTTGAAAACCTTTCAGGCCTTCTTTCTGCATTACAAAGTAGCAAATAAGTACAGAAGCCCATTTTTTTAAAAGCCTGCACAAGTCAAATTTAAATTCTGAGCCTAGTAGTTATTAGCAGTAAAAAAAGCTAATGGGATGTTGACTAGTATCAAGCACAGTATGTTGCATAGATGCAAGGATGTTTAAAGATTTTTCAGATGAAGTATTTGAAGAAGCTAACAATAGTTATAAAATTTTGCCAGAAGGATCCATTTGAGGCCATTGGAAAGATCAAATATTGAGGACACATAAAAGAAGAATTTAAGAAGATGGTATTTTACAGGAAGTATTGAATGGGTGAAGTGAGGTTTCCAGTTGAGTTGATAGAGTAAAATAGTATATTTAGGGTATTTAAAGAAAACTTCGCTAGCTATATAAAGTTTAATAAGTTAAAGTGAGTTTCAGTTTTGTAGCTGAGCTCCTTTTGAGCAGGGTGAAAAGGAGTGCAGATCTGAGATAAATATTTCCTGCTTATGCTTTTTTTCTCGATTTTTGGGCATTTTATTTTTTTTGAGCGGGGAGAGGAGGTTGGTTTTCTGGGGAAGTAGCCACAGCTGGGCTATGCCCCAATCAGGCCACAGCTGGCCTGTATAAAAAGGCTGGGAGCCAGGAGCTCAGAAGTCTCTCTCTGCACTCAGAGAGAGAGAAGGGCCTGGCTGCAGGGAGCTAAGACAGAGTACCTGGGTGGAGCGGGGCTGGGGAAAGGCTGAGGAGCTGGGGAGCTCCAGCCTGGATAGCCCCAGGCTGTGGCCTAGTAGGAGGCCAAGGGGTACTGAGGATTGCAGAGGGCAGTCCATGGGTAGGCCAAGGCAGCAGGTCCAAACCCAACCTTACCTGTGATGAGTGGCCTATACTGCAGTCTGCCCCAGGGAGCGGGGGCTAGTTGGTGACTGGCAGTGACCTTATTCTGAGGTGAGGTAGGGATAGTGGGTGAGGGTTCCCCGGGGAGGGGAGACCCTAGTACTGAGGGGTGTACTGCCAGGGGGCAGCACCCTAGATAAAAGGGCACCGGGGTCCGGGAGAGACACGGGGGCCAGAGTACAGACGGATCACCGGCCTGCAGGGGGTGCTCCAGGATGCTGGAAGAGCTAATTCCCAGAAGAGACCAGCAGGAGGCCCCACAGGGGTGAGTCCGCCCCTCTACACATCCGCTATGACTTCCACTCCAAAGCTCCCTCCTTCCACCAGAGGGCACTGCTCTGAAGTCACCTAAAGTGGAGCACCCACAGGGACATCACTCAAAGAAGAAGAGAACGTTACTCACCTCATGCATTAACGGAGGTTCTTTGAAATGTGTGTCCCTGTGGGTGCTCCACTAGCCTCCCTCCTCCCCTCTATCTGCACAGCTCCAATTGTAGGGTCAGTTCCAAAGATAAGACAAGACAAGTAAGGATAACAAACGAGAGGGAGGTTTAGGGGTAACAGTGACAGGCACATGTAGTTATATAGACTAGTTAAATGTACAATTTGATGGCATGAGTCTTTAATATATAAATATGAGATATTAATTATACCAAAAATTTCTGCTGGCTACCTGCCTATACGTTATTATTTAGTAAC